TATTGGGAAGACCTGGGGTCTAAGTCCACAAATGACCAACTGGCTATACACTAGGGTTGCAAGACCGATGATGGTGTATGGCTCGGTGGTCTGGTGGACCAAGGTAATGCAAACTACCGCTGTAAAGAGACTACAAAAGATCCAGCGAGTGGCATGCCTTAGCGTCACAGGAGCCATGAGAGGCACTCCAACTGCAGCCCTGGAAGTAGTGCTAAACCTGCCACCTCTCGACATCATTGTGAAAGGAGAGGCAAGGATGGCAGCCTACAGAATGGCTTGCAGTGGCAACTGGAAGTATAATGCCTCCAGTGAGCACACAAGAATTGTAGACAAGGTGCAAATGAACTCCTTGGAAATGCTACCAGACAGGATGGTGAAGATCACAGATCTAGAAAAACCATACAATGTCAACATTGTTGACAGGGATGCCTGGGATAAGGGTGAACCTGAATACATAAAAAGGAGGATCACCTGGTATACGGATGGCTCAAAGTATATTTTTTGGGCTGAATAGGAAGACCCTGCGGAAGGTGGTTGGCTTTATAAGCGGCCATTGGGTATTCCGTGGACATTTACACATGATGGGAATTCAAGTTGAAAGCCTCTTATGTAGGAAATATGGAGAGGAGGAGGAGACAGCATTCCACGTGATATGTGCCCAGCCCTACAAGGTCTGTGCATGAGATCCCTTGGCCTATCGACTGGAGATCAAAGGGAAGAACGGGTCACCATAGTCAAAAGGATCTCAAGGTTCACAAAGGACCTGGGATTTGACAAAGAATGAGGACCTGTGAATGAGGGTGCACAATAAGCTGTTCTAGCTGTGCTGCAATCCCATGGTTACTTAAAGCCTTGCCCTCTATATAAAAAAAACTGGTATTTTAACACAGACAAACAAAAGTTGGAGCAAAAATCCAAAATAGCATCGCACATTTTTGGAAATCTCGCTTACGTTGGATCAAAAAAAAATCTTTATTATTTATCATCTGCTGAATATTCCGGTTAATTTGAGTACCAACATGACGTGTTGTGGTAAAAAAACATTTTTGGTTGTTTTGGTCGTTTTTCGCAGAAAAAGAACGTCATTTTCGAAATCAGCGTTGAATTTAGAGTAGAATGATTAAAATTGTATACAATTAGTGGTCTCATAAACTTATAACAATTTAATTGTTTTACTAATTACTTGTTTACTAAAAAGGCCAAAGCAGCCTTTTTATAGGTTACACATTTTTTTTTAATTTTTAGCAATTTAATAAAATAAAACTTAATATTGTATCTAAAACTAGTTTAATTATGGCTGTACAACTTAATTCAAAATATTATGATTGACTGTTATTATTATTATCTCTGCATGGTCAACATGACCTGCTTATGCTTATAATACTTTTGATCCTAAAAACCTGTTCAGTAAAACCCCACTAACTCAACACCCGGTGAACTCGAGAGTCAACAGCTGACAACGTACAGAGGCATTTTTTGAGAACATATAGTATATTCAAAATTTATTTGAAGCTCATTTACTCACTCAATATGTGAAAATAGATAGGCCTACTAATGTCAGTAATAAATTCATGTAATAAACGGTATCAGAAATCTGACACATACTTTCTCCCATAAGCTTGTCAACAACCATGGGTAAGCGGTGGTAAAGGTCGGCCGCTTAGAAAACGACCTGCACAAAATGTTTAGCGCATGTAGGGGAGGTAATGGCGAGGGAGGGTATATTCCCCCTCTCCGCCAATGGCCGTTTTCACACTGCACGACACGACACCGGCACGACACCGACTTGGCCCTGCTTCGGTGTCGTGGGAGTTGGAATCCTGTGTTGGAACTGCTTACACAATGATATAATAACATTTCATGATGCTCAAATATTGATGCGATTTAGGCTATACAATATTTTTTGCAGGACCTATTTTTCTGGTAGAAGAAAGAACGTAATTGTTTAAATTTTGATCAGCTGTATAATTTAATTGCTGTTAATATTTAAGGAAGGTTGGGGGTGGGGCGGCAGCGGAGTGGGCGAAAAGCCATAGTCTGTCTCACTCCCACAGCTCGGTATCTCTCTCTCGCACCAATGCTATGAGGAGGACCCTTTCTAAGCGGCCAACCTATAGTAACTATGATAATTTTGTAGGAAAAAATCACAAAAGTTGCAATAACTTTTGAGCCGTAATTGTTACAGAAATGGGAGTTGCATTATTTTGTTTAGAATTATAAGGACCATAACACATTAATTTTAATCAAAACCGGGATTTTTTCCAAAATCCAATTTTTTGTGATTTTATGGGATTTTTTATGGGAAAATAACATTTAAGTTACAATAACTTTTGAAAAGTAATTTTTACGGAAATGGGATTTGTACCATTCTGTTCTACACCTAATCGAATGAGTGATAGCATGGCCGTTACTAAACTATCACAAAGTTTGAGCCTAAACAAACCTATGTTTAAAGTGTTAGACTCTCCCCAGCAAAAGAACTCTTATGACTGTGGAATTTATATGCTCCTGATGGTAGATTGGATTATTACTTCTGTTCTTCTGGATAACAACTTTAAAGAAGACGCAATGTCCAACATACTGTAGACGAGAGTTAAGAAGTCCTCTGAGCCATGGCCTACTCTAAAAATGCAGGCGCTTTCTACTCGACGGCAAGGCGCGCCGGGCAGGTTAATCATGTTCCACGCGGCAGTCAGGGCTCACATCCACTGTGTTAAAACCAAAAGAGCACCTTCAAATACCGTGCGGCAACATACAAACGTTGCTGCATATCACTCTGGCTCAGAGGACTTCTTAACTCTCGCCCACAGTAGTCACTAAGGATGTAATACACAAAAGATCAGTACTGTCATACTTATGGCTAAGCTCTGATACAAATGATCTAGATCCAGCGCTCATAAAGGAACTAATGTTCAAGAACTACAATGAAGATAGCAGATGTAATGGGCACCTATATGGCAAAAAAGAGGAAAGAATTAAAGGGAAAATAAATCTGAACTCCTGGCAAGCTGTTCACTCTGCTTCCAGAAAACACAGATGTTGCAAGCCAAAACGAAAAACAAGAGATAGTTCTATCACTTTATCCAATAGATATGGAATTCTCGAAGGCAAATCAGAAACAGATATAGCTAAAACAAACCACCGGGATAAAGGCTTGAATAAACTAACAGGACAAAAATCAAATAATACAAAGGAGACTGTTCTTAAGCAACAAACTCCACATCGACAAAAGAAGATCCATCAAAAATGTAAAAAAAAACATTTAAAGTTACAGCGTCTCAGAAACCTACCATTGAGCACAAGAAAACTATTCCAGTGGATCCAGCAAACTTAAAAGATAAAAATAAAAGTAAACTTACAAACAAACAATCAACCAAAAAGCCCACGCTGTATGTAACAAGTGACAGCCACGCTAGAGACTTTGTACAGCTCCTAACTCCACTGTTTCCACAACATAACGTCACATCAACTTATTATCCTGGAGCATCTTTTGGTTATGTATTAACCCAATTAGAGAGACTCATAAACAAGTTTGATAAAAATGACCGAATAATACTTATAGGCGGAACTAATAAAACAGACTCTCAACATCAACATAATATTCTTATAAAACTAGATTTTCGAAAACTTAAAAAAAATTAAAACCAAGGGAGATTAATAACTTTGGTACTGCACCACATCAAGTGAAAGTTTTTTTGAGCAAACCATAGTGAGTTGTTAAAGCTTTACATTGTTAACGTTACACGTTACATGTTTTGTGGCCTGTGTATTTATTTATTTACATATTTGCCAACGGATTAACACCTATAATACAGTTTGATTAGAAGGACAGTTTGAATTGGTCGTAAGTACTATAGTTCTTTTCTCAAATGTAAACGTTGGTTTTTGGTAGGTACTACTACTTTTCCTTAGAACCGGTGGTAGCAGTAAGAATCATTTGTATGTACAAACAGATAACTATTTACAACTATAGTTAGGTATCGTTAGTGCTGCATCTTATTTCTTATTAAATTTAATTGATGTCTTACTGTATAGTTTTTGCGTTTTCTGTCTGGACTCCAAAATGTTAGTTTATGCTATGAAAATGATAAAACATTAGTGAAAGGTTTTTTTTAGCAACCCTTATGAATTTTTAAAGCTTGGCGTTGTTAACGTATAAATTTTTTGTGGACTGTGTATTTATTTACTTATTTATATATTTGCCAACGGATTTACACTAATTTTACAGTTTGATTATAAGGCCTAAAAACGATTATCATAAACACACTATCAAAACTTTCAAATAATTATTTTGTTTGTAATTTGCTTTGGTTAAAGCGTAGCAAATCCTCTAATTCAATTCTGTTTTTGTGTGTGTGTATGTCTGTTGGCAACGCATTAATGTCCTTATGTCTCAGTGTTTCGTGGAAAAGACAAGAACACCTTTGTTAATGAAAATTTCAACCCGAATAAAGTGTGCAGCAGTGAGGTTGAGGTAGTATTTTAACTACTTTCAACCAGTGTGAAAAGTAACTTTCAATTACAGGCCTACCTTAGGGCTATGCCTCATAGATCTATAAAGCAATTCCTTTTAATCATTAGATACAAAATATGGACTAACACGATCGGGTGACATTTAATTGCGAATCATTCGTTTTGGTTTGAAACTGTCAGATATTGTATTTGCGAAGGTTTATATGTATTCCTATATGGTAATAGTTTTGCCAGAATATCTGGAAAAATGCACACTAATATGCAAACCAACTCCTGTTCTGAATATAAGGTTTCAACTTACTACAAGATTCCCGTATGGAGAACGGGCACACAACTAAGTGCTAAATAAAAGGCTTATTCCCTGTAATGGAAATTCACTAAAATAAGTAACAAAAGTGTTTACTATGTGAAATTAATTAGATTAAATCTGTAAAAGGGGTACGTAGGATTTTATGTAAACCTAAATCTAAATGTAACTTTAATTTCCGTCTTTTAGTTTTTAGTGCTAATGTGAATTTTTATTCCAGGTTTAAAAATGAATCCTCAACTCAAAGAGTTACACACCATGTTGTCAAATCATTTCAGTTGTCAAGTGTTGAAAAGTATCGTTGCCCAACCACTGAGTAATAAAGGGCAATATTTTACAAGTTGTATTCATAACGTGAAGATTATTTTAGAAGAGGACCAAACAGAGTCTCATGTTGATTTTATTGTAAAAGTATTGCCACCAGGAGAACATGAAATTGAATACAATTCAAAGGTAAACGGATATTTAAAAACAAATTATACATACCGTATATAACGGTAAGTTACCTCCAGGCTAACTGGAGGTTTACCCACAGTTACTTAAGTTGACATGGCTCAGGAATAAAATTCTTAGTTCTCGCTTACAAAACCCAACATGACAACCCACAAAACATACAAAGAACACAAAGATAATTAATAATGAAGCTAGAGTAGACTGGAACAGTGATAATAATTTAGTTTACAACCCACCCCAATTTGAAAAAGACTCAATTTGAAAACCCTTAAAATTGTCTTTCCTGGACCAAGGCCATAAGGGCCTTGTGCTCCAGCTTTCCCACCAGGACCCGTACACCACACTAACTACTACACACAAAAGTCATCAAATAAATTGTTCTCACTATTTATCTGTTTATACATTTTTTGCTGTGTCACTATACTAAGTTGAGCTAGTAGGCCTAAAGCACGGGTCACACTAGGCTGGCATCAGCGGCGAATTGAAAGAAGCTGCTACTGTCAGCTTGATGTGACCACAAAATTTGCAGCTGGCACCGTCAGCCGGCGAGTATTTGTCAGCGGCTGGCGAAGTTGGACATGTTCAACTTTTGGTAGCGAGGCAGCGGCGAATAGAGGTCACGTGACCACTCGCACTCGCTGACGCCAGCGAGCAGCGTAGTCTGACCACTTCTAGAAGTGTGCCAGTGGCGACCAAAGATAATTTCCAACTTGGTTTAACTCAAAAGGACAAAAGCAACTGTTTCAATTTCTTAATTAGAGGCTTAACTAATTCTAGTAATGCCTGGAATGTATGTGGTGACTGGTGACATTCGTAAAACATTTTGGTATGTTTCTGATTCTTTTTTTTAGTGCGTTTAAAAACGTATTTTTAAAAAGTATTTTTATTTATAAATTATTTGTATCCATGGCCTGATCCACTAACGTCTCTTCTTGCGGTTAAGCATCTTTTAATAAAATTATTTCTCTTTCACATACATCCTCAATATTAAGTAGTGCTGGATGAGGACCCAAAAAAGGACGAAATGGCGACAAGAACTGAGTTTTAAACTAGGCGATTAAAGTAGTATTTGTAGCATAGAAATTACTGAGCTTAGGTGGTCAGGGAAGCAGGTTATTGATTTTTTTTAATTCCTAAACTAAACGTACAGTACTTGTGGGACGTTTCTTTAAAGAAGTAAAAACATCAAATAAGCAGCTTACAGTGATTTGTTACAAAACCTCACAGCTGTTCTGTTCCTTCTCACACATCGACCACATCATTAATATCACGATCACCAGCGGCTATCAAGCAGCCTAGTGTGACCCGTGGAAAAGCCGCTGCTTGGTGGTGCTGGTTCCAGCCGCTAATCACCAGCGGCTGCCGAGCAGCCTAGTTTGACCCGTGCTTAACCTTTAATCAGATGGTTGATTATTTCCAAAGTAGGGTTAGTACAGTACAGTATATTATCCATCCAAACTCGGACAAATGAACGTTGTAATGGTGGCTTACATTTTAAGCAAGAAAAGACTGACCGAGACAGTTCAATTGTTACTATTTATTGCCATTAAGAAAAGGTTTGTTACCTCATTTGCAGAATTCACCATACTTTCAAAAACTTATTGGAAACTCCCAATCTGTAACAGTTCAATTCTGGAAAGCAACAGCGTATAAAACAAATGTTAAACAAAAAATTTAATGAAAATCTCATGCGAGAAATAGGGCCACACCTTGAAAATGCCAACACATTTGTCCAATCTTTTAAGACTGTGACAGGAATTTTTTTGGGACAAAAGCTCCAAGGAGTCAAGTGATATTCTTATGTACATAATAAAAGACAAAGTACGTGATTTCCGCCGCTACAATGATGCTACCTATACAGATTCGCAGCTATTTTAAAAGATTAAAACGGAGAACCACCTCTGGCCAAAGTGAAGTGAAAGGTAAAACTAACACCACAGTTAAACATAGATACTTTATTAGCCAAGATCCCAAAAGTAAGTCCTCAAGCTCAAAACAACAATACAATAAAAACAAACATCAAATATGCAACATATGATAACAATTATAAAAATACCAAACAGCACATCTTCTCTTTTCTCTTTTTTTTAGTTTATTTATAAAAATCTGAATCACTGTATCTACGAGGTGGTTTTACACTTCTTTTAGGTCTGTCATTTTCATTGCTATTGTAATTATGTCCAGCATCAGTTTCAGTTCCTTGGGCTTCTTGGTATTGGTGTTCAAATCTATTTTCACCATTTTCAATAGGCCTATGCACAGCTATTATATGTCTCCTGTTCCTTCTGATCTTCCCTGCCTGTGTATTTATCAGGTAGGACCGAGGATGATTTGATTTATTCTCAACATGTCCATAACGTTTCAAATCTGGAATCCAAACTTTGTCATTTTGATCAAGCTGTGAGAGATCTCTTACACCTTTCCTTACATCGTAGTTTCTCTTATTTCTTTCCTTGATTGAAAAATCCTTCTCTTTAAACTTTTGCAATCTTTCCCTTGTTACCTGTCTGAAGTTATTTATTGGCGGTAATGTTGATCGGAGCTTCCGTGAATAAAGTAACTCTGCAGGTGAAAGACCAGACTCTAAGGGTGTATTTCTATATTCTAACAATCCAAGATTTGGATCACTACATTTCGTTAGAATCCGCTTCGCTATGTCAACTGCTTTTTCTGCTTCTCCGTTTGATTGTGGATACCTTGGGCTTGATGTCACTATACGGAAACCATATTCTTCAGCAAAATTTTTTAAATCCTGAGAAGTAAATTGCGGACCTCCATCAGCTCAGATTGTAATCTGTCGTTCGCAGAGTTTACATCCATTGCTAATTTAAACTAAATTTTAATCTACTTGATGATAAAGAAACTTTAAGCTAGTTTAATGAGTTTTGTGGCACCGAAGTGTTTTCAAAAGACATTCACCTTGCCAGCTAAAAACAATCGATGACATAGTCGAAGAAATCCAACAATCTGCTTTAGAAGCCCGAAAAAATCGATTGCCCGACAAAGTCTTCAGTTTTAACAAACCCAAATTGGTCACTTTATGATGTTATCTATAAAGGACAGAGTATTTGTGTCAAAAACGATTCAGTTAAGACATCAGATAAAGCCGCCGATCGCCCTACCCTAGTAGCACAAATATGTATTTTATAAATCTAATATATAAAATTCTCGTGTCACAGTGTTTGTCTGCAAACTCCTCCGGAACGACTTCACAACCCAAAGGTGAGTGAGCGTAGCGAACGAACTTCAACCTGGAGGCGAGTTAGCGTAGCGAACGAGCTAACCTGAAGGCAAGTGAGCGCAGCGAACGAGCTCCAACCTAAAGGTGAGTGAGCGTAGCGAACGAGCTCCAACCCAAAGGTGAGTGAGCGTAGCGAACGAACTTCAACCAGGACGTGATTGAGTGATGCGAACGAGATCATCTTGAAAACTAAACGTAACGGTACTTTCTTTCCATCGGTCTGTCTTAGGGGAAACCTATAACTTAGGCGATACGAAGTTCGCCGGGTCAGCTAGTATTTTATATATTTAAAGTTGTATTTGATAGAACCTCGAATAAAATATATATATAATATATCTTTAATAATAGTTTGATATATTCAAATATATATTTTAAATATTACCAAAAAGCAATGCAAAATATAAATTAAATATAAGTTTTGAATATATAAAATAGATTCATAATATCTATTGATAAAACAAGTATAAAATCTATAATATACATATTTTATATGTATATTTTTCCTATTAAATATTTAAAAAAAATTGGGTGTTAAGAATATTTTAAATATATATATAAAATATGTTTGAAACTATATTATATATTTAAATTATTTATAAATATATTTTGAAACACGTCAGATATTTTTATTAATAAAATAATATTATATTTGTAGAATATATAGCCTATAATCTTTTATAATTAGCAAATAGATAATTTGCATCTTTTTGTTTTTTATAGTGTCTATCAATTTATACATGCATTTTTTGTATGATAATTGCTATTGTGAAAGCGTTAAAATTAAGTTAATAATAATACGTACTCTGTATGGTGTCACTCTATCATACACGTAAAGAAAAAAATAGCATATAGTTAAGAGGCAGTATACATGTTCGACAGCTACATTTGGGTCAAACGAAAAAAAAGTGTTGATGGGTTTTATTTTTTTAATTGCAATATGTGTCAATGAATGTGATCATAGAAATCTCGAATGATTGGCTAGAAAAGGGTGCTAGTGACTGGCGACCTTTTAAGAAACTAATTACGGTTGTATATGACGTTCTAAAAATAATTATTTGATTTACATATGCCATAAATTACATAATATCTGTCATAGTATTTAAATTATTAATTTTTGTAGTTTACTGTATTTGTATTCGTGGAGACTACTCACTATTCACTACAGCACTATTCAACTCAACTACTTGATGCCAAAACAGATTAACAGAATCATATTATACAGTAGTATCAAAAATATTTCAAGTGTTGCAACCATTGCAACTGAGGGCCACTCTTTCACCACTTGAAAACTAATGCTCACAACAGTCACAAGTAGCTCAGAGGTAAGGTAGGAGGCTCATAAGTTGAAGTACCCAGGTTCGAGACCCACCCGGGTTGAAAAAATTTTATCCAGTAATTTTTTCAAAATTAGTTTTTATGAACTATTTAATCAATTTACTCAACTGATAATTGTGTTTTTCATACTAAATCTTTATTATTTTGTGTTTTTATGTTTAGGCCCCATGGGATGTTTGGAAGAGATATTAAATACAATTTTTATTGAAATATTATTCACTAAAATATATTATTGGAACATATTTTTTTAATATTTAATAGATTCAAAAACATATTTTTTATATATTTAATATATTTTTAATATTATATAAAATTGACATTAATACACACTTGAGATATATAAAATAGATTTTAAATATATTTATTCATATGTATTTAATATATATTTGTGCTACTAGGGTAAGCGTACAGACTTTGCCATTGT